GTCAATATACACTTAACAACACGTAATAATGCTATACCACTGGATTGATAAATATGAAGGTAACTACTAGCCTTCCTATCATAAGTGGATATCCCCTGAGTATTACAACCTTTCACTTCAACAAGATAATTTACAATGTTCATATAAGTTTTATCCCTCAATGCTAGATGTATCGGCCTATCATTATACTTGTCTTCAGCTTCAATGTTACATTGTGGATGATTAGTCAGAATTTTAACAATTTCAAAATGACCCTTTTCACATGCATAATGTAATGGTGTATAGTCAATCCTCCCTTTAGCATTAACATCACATTGTTTATCAATCACAAGATGACGTACAATGTCTACATTTCCTGATTCACATACTTTGTGTAGTGGTCTGTATTGAGAATTGTCTTCAGCTTCAATATTACATTGTGGATGATTAGTTAAAATTTTAACAATTTCAAAATGACCCTTTTCACAAGCACAATGCAATGGTGTATAGTCACTCCTCCCTTTAGCATTAACATCACAGTGTTTATCAATCACAAGATGACGTACAATGTCTACACTTCCAAGTTCGCATGCTTCGTGTAGTGGTCTGTATTGAGAATTGTTTTCAGCTTCAGTATTACATTGTGGATGATTAGTTAAAATTTTAACAATTTCAAAATGACCCTTTTTACATGCATAATCTAATGGTGTATAGTTACTCCACCCCGCTTTAGCATTAACATCACAGTGTTTATCAATCACAAGATGATGTACAATGTCTACATTTCCAGATTCACATGCTTTGTGTAGTGGTCTGTATTGAGAATTGTCTTCAGCTTCAATATTACATTGTGGATGATTAGTTAAAATTTTAACAATTTCAAAATGACCCTTTTCACATGCATAATGTAATGGTGCATAGCCATTCCTCCCTTTAGCATTAACATCACAGTGTTTATCAATCACAAGATAACGTACAATGTCTACATTTCCTGATTCACATACTTCATGTAGTGGTCTGTCATTAGAATTGTCTTCAGCTTCAGTATTACATTGTGGATGATTAGTCAAAATTTTAACAATTTCAAAATGACCTTTTTCACATGCAAAATGTAATGGTGTATAGCCATACCTCCCTTTAGCATTAACATCACAGTGTTTGTCAATCACAAGATGATGTACAATGTCTATATTTCCTGATTCACATGCTTTGTGTAGTGGTCTGTCATTAAAATAACTGTCTTCAGCTTCAGTATTACATTGTGGATGATTAGTCAAAATTTTAACAACTTCAAAATGACCTTTTTCACATGCAAAATGTAATGGTGTATAGCCATTCCTCCCTTTAGCATTAACATCACAGTGTTTATCAATCACAAGATGACGTACAATGTCTACATTTCCAGATTCACATGCTTTGTGTAGTGGTCTGTCATTAAACAAATAACTGCCTTCAGCTTCAGTATTACATTGTGGATGATTAGTCAAAATTTTAACAACTTCAAAATGACCTTTTTCACATGCAAAATGTAATGGTGTATAGCCATTCCTCCCTTTAGCATTAACATCACAGTGTTTATCAATCACAAGATGACGTACAATGTCTACATTTCCAGATTCACATGCTTTGTGTAGTGGTCTGTCATCAGTATTGTCTTCAGCTTCAGTAATACATTGTGGATGATTAGTCAAAACTTTAACAACTTCAAAATGACCTTTTTCGCATGCAAAATGTAATGGTGTATAGCCATTCCTCCCTTTAGCATTAACATCACAGTGTTTATCAATCACAAGATGACATACAATGTCTACATTTCCTGATTCACATGCTTTGTGTAGTGGTCTGTCATCAGTATTGTCTTCAGCTTCAGTAATACATTGTGGATGATTAGTCAAAACTTTAACAACTTCAAAATGACCTTTTTCGCATGCAAAATGTAATGGTGTATAGCCATTCCTCCCTTTAGCATTAACATCACAGTGTTTATCAATCACAAGATGACATACAATGTCTACATTTCCTGATTCACATGCTTTGTGAAGTGGTCTGTCATTAGAATTGTCTTCAGCTTCAGCATTACATTGTGGATGATTAGTTAAAATTTTAACAATTTCAAAATGACCCATTTCACATGCATAATGTAATGGTGTATAGCCAATCCTCTCTTTAGCATTAACATCACAGTGTTTGTCAATCACAAGATGACGTACAAAGTCTACATTCCCTGATTTACATGCATTTATTAGTGATCTCCTATCTTCATAATGATTATTTAATAGTTTCATTACATCTAGCTCTGCTAGTTGCTTTGCTGATTCCATACATTTAAATAAACTATCCTCACTC